CCGCCCGCCACTCGCGGCCGTTGGCGGCGCGGCGCCGCTGCCAACTGATCGCTGAGGCCCGGCACCCCGCGCAGGCGCGCTGTCCGCGCCGCCGGAAGTGACGGTTCCGGCTCTTGTCACGTGGAGGGGGGACGGGCGAGGTCATTGTGGGGGTTGGGGACGAGGGGAAGGTCCGGGGTCCCGGGTCTGAGGACCCGCCAGGAGGGTTCAGGCCAGGCCTGTAGGGCCCCGGCTTCGAGCAGGCAGCTGGCCGGGGTACCGGTTCCCGCGCTGGCCCCGCAGCGGGGTCTGTCATCTTGGCTAGGGGTTGGTATGTCACTTTGGAAGCTTAAATATGCCTCCAACAACTTCTCACTGCATTTGTAAGCCACTTTTCCAGACCTCCTTCTCCCCTGAGAATCTTCTTCCGCTCGCCCACCCTGAGCGTGGGAGGTGGGAGCAGCTCCGAGCTAGAGCGGATTCCAGTAACCCGACTTGCAAAGCCACAGTGTCGCACTCTGTAACAGACGCTGGTGCTGGGAAGCGTTTTGCGGTTTATAAATTACTTAGGAGTACTTTCAGAATCTCATGTGTGCTATGCAACAGCCGTGTGAGATATTCAGAACAGGTATTAAGTCCGTTTGCAGACCATTCATTGCCTTTGGCCTAGAGAACTTAACGGACTCGCCCAAGGTCACACAGCTGGCTTGTGGTAGAGCTGGGACTACAAGGTCCATCCTTTGATACTTAGTTTCGTACTTTGGGCCATTCTGAAAAAGTAGCTTGAGGTCAGATCGTTGAAAAACGGCAGATTTCAGACTGTTTGGAAGCAAAACCAGCCATTGGGTTTCCCCCTCCTCCTTTAACAAAGAGATTTGCCCATTAAAAAAAGAAACAAGAAAAAAAGCTCCATTGCATCCATTTCATAAACTGCAGGAATCTCAGTGCCTGCGGAGTGAGGCAGGCAAAAAGAACATGGGTGTGAGATGTTACACAGTGTTAAGGAATGGCAAATTATAGAGCATGTGTAAAGAGAGCAGCCGATTCTCAGCTCCAGCCTGCTTTTCCCCCGTATGAATACAGGCGCGCTGTGGCCAGAGGTTCCAATTTCTTAAGCCAGAAATCTGGATTTTTTTCTAATATGGCGTTTACCAAATTTATTACATGCAGGCCAAATTGTGCCTGCAGGACTCCAGTATGCACCTTCTATGAAAGTAGATGAATGTGGTTCTATCCCCACCCCTATTTCTGTATCCAGCTTTTTAATGAGATACAGGCAGAAACGTTAGAAAATGTGCTTAGGCAAAAGACTTTGAGCTTAAAATTTCTATTTTTTCTTCCCATCTGCTATTTGAAGAGAAGCTATTTCTGCCAACACTAAAACAGTGCTCTGGATTTGGGCATTTTTGCTGCATAACCCACTAAGCTAAAATTCTTCATCCAGGGACTTGACCTTTAAAGCACATTCCAGCTCAATGGAAGTCAGATTATATGTCAGATGATTGATGGGGTGTGACAATTGGGGATTTCCATTTAGAAATAAGCTGACCATTTTCCTTACTGTGGGGATTCACTGTGGAGTCTCATTCCTACAACATTTGAATTATATTTTTCAAGCAGAATAATGGAAAAATTTAGTCATTTCATACAATTCAAAACTGGAATCAGCCTAGCACACAAAGTTTGGGCCTAATACAGCTTCAGCTGATCACAACACAAGAATAAATAAATCTCCTATGATCAGTTTGGGAGCCAATTTACCACAGTTGTTGTCCTACAGAAAATCACTTCTAGGTACCCATATAACCTGTCTTCTGATAGGGAAGTTGATAATTAGTTTAAGGCATAGGCCCCCCTCTCAAAAATTATGGATAACAACGCGCAATGTGTCCTTTAAGTTTTAACCAAGCATGTAATAAAATTTGAATAGCCTTTGATCTTCACAGAAATGTTAACTCCACAATGTTCTATGAGAACCAATAACAAACACATTACTAATAAGAATGCAAAAACATTGTATTACTAATAACAGGAATGCCAAGCATTTACAAACACTTTTACTACAATCCGTTGATATTAACTGTCAGATTGTATCCTCCTAGCAATTTTGTGAGTTAAGAATGAGTATCCTTTTAAACCAATTTGTAGGCAGAAATTGAGATACTAATCAATGGAAAAACTATATTGAGAATTCTAGTCATTTAGTTCTGCCCTCATTATTAGACCATGGCTATGGAAGAACATCCAACTTGGCTTCCTGTCAGAAAATAAAATTTCTGGAAAAAAGAAAATGTGTGATGGTAACTAGACTTACTGTGGTGATCACTTTGCTGTACAAATATCAAATTATTATATTGTACACCTGAAACTAATATGATGTTATATGTCAGTTTTACCTCAATAAAAAAAATGTATCAATAATGTAGACTCTGACCATCTTAAACACTGTCATTAAGGTGACTTACATTAAGAACACAGATATAGGGCCGGCCCTGTGGCTTGGTGGTTAAGTGCGCGTGCTGTGATGCTGGTGGCCCGGGTTCGGATCCCGGGTGCGCATCGAGGCACCACTTCTCCGTTCATCCTGAGGCCGAGTCCCACATACAGCAACTAGAAGGATGTGCAGCTACGACATACAACTATCCACTGGGGCTTTGGGGGGAAAAAATAAAATAAATAAAATCTTTAAAAAAAAATTAAAATAAAATAAAATAAAATAAAATAAAACCATAGGGCCGGCCCCGTGGCTTAGCGGTTGGGTGCGCACGCTCCACTGCTGGCAGCCCGGGTTCGGGTCCAGGTGCGCACCGACACACCCCTTCTCTGAGGCCACGTCCACGTACAGCAACTAGAAGGATGTGCAGCTATGACATACAACTATCTACTGGGGCTTTGGGGGGAAATAAATAAATAAATAAAATCTTAAAAAAAAAAAAAAAGAACACAGATATAGAATAGTTTCATAAAGGTAAAAAGTTAAAATTACATTTTAGTTTTTTATACATATCTCAACCTTTCAAATGTTTATATCTGTAAAAATAGTTGGGAACTAGCCACATAATGAAGACTTTTTTAAAAAAACAGATAGCTTCAGTTTGTAAGGTTTCATGTTACAATATCCTGATAAGGTCAACAGATCATTGTAGCCAACTAAAGGATTCTGAGATCCTTAAACAGGAAGGATTTTGACAATGTGGAGAGGGGAGATTATTGTTATACATTTGTCTTCTACTAGAAAACTATAACCCTTCTTGTTACTTTTACCCTCATCTATTTTGCACTAAGGTGGCTCTCAAAGTCATATGTGAAGTGAGAAAGACTGACACGGATCAAACAAAATATGTTTATCCCAAAAGGCTTATGCCATAATTACTTTTATATGTCATCTCTTCCAATGCCTGATTATTCATTTTTGATATTCATTTTTCCTCACAAGTCAGTGTTTTCCTTTGATGATGTGTCATTATTAACCTTATTATGTTATACTCTTAGGAATAATTATTCTCCCTGCCTAATAGTATTACTTTATACCCAGTTAAATGACCATATCATTGCTTTCCAAGAAAGTAAAGGTCCTGAAGTCCAATAAAAGAAAATATTCATGTCTCCATTATTAAAACAAGTGGTTTTTTAATATCACCAATATTTAAATCCTCTGTTAAAACTACTAAACATCATCACTATACGTTATAAAAATTTATATATGTCTATGAAAAATCCATCTGATAGTACAGTGTAAAATACCAAGCTGTTCACAAATATTCTCTTTTTTTAAAATAATTTTTGTGCTTTATTTTATTTTTTTTTACTTTTTTTTTTGAGGAAGATTGGTCCTGAGCTAACATCTGTTGCCCATCTTTCTTTTTTTTTCTTCTTTTTTCCTCCCCGAAGCCCGTTAGTACAAAGCCCATTAGTACATAGTTGTATATCCCAGTTGTAGGTCATTCTACTTCTTCTATGTGGGATGCCACCTCAGCATGGCTTGATGAGCAGTGAGTAGGTCTGCACCCAGGATCCAAACCGGCAAACCCTAGGCCACCGAAGTGGAATGTGCAAATATAACCACTGCACCATCCGGCTGGCCCCCACAAATATTCTTCATAGGAAAAATGACTCATTTGACATGAAATACTTTTCCATGATAGAATTTTTCCTACAATTTGACCATGCTTTTGAGAAGGAATGCAAGAGGTATGCAACTTCACCACCAAGAGAAGCGCTTCGATCCCCTACTCAGCTGAATTGGGGGTTGGGGGGGTGCCACCAGATATATAGCACCTCAGCCTCACACCTCATGGCAAGGATATCTTCCCACCTAAAGAGTTATTTGTCCTAGAACAGGACTACAGTCACATTTCTGGATATGTTCCTGCCCTCCTTCTTCTTGATAGCCTTTGCATTTCCCTACTATGGCCAGTTACATTTATATAAAACTTTAGCAGAGTGGTAAAATAAGAACTAATTCTCATTGGGCACTTGGAACGTACCAATGCTATTCTAAAGTGCATTACGT